TACCAGAAATGAATTGTGCCAAAAACCGTAATAGCGGCTAATGTTATTCGACCATTTATTCTTCGCAGTTAGAAGAAATTTCCTGAAAAGATGTAGAAAATGCATTCAAGTAAATGGCGGACATTTTGAACAACTAATTTGATAAATAAATTTGAAAATTCGGAAATAAATCTCAAAAATCACCCTACGAATTATTAAGATCATCCCTGTACCCCAAATGTGAAAACAAATATTTGTAGATTTGAAAAATAAACCTATCATTGGCGGGAGTCGAACCCACATCAACATGTTTGCCGGACGTGTGCCCTTTACCGTGAGGTTCTCAAGACATTGACTGTCAAGATTCCTAACTGAAATATTAGATGGTAGTTCTAGCCAGACAACGTTCAAGTTTCTTCTTAAATCTGTTGTGTGTTATATCCTTAAGTCTATGTTAAAATGTATAGTGTAAGATAGGCCTAAGGATGTCATGTGTCTTCCTGACAGTTGACAGTTCTTGGTTATGTTACATACTTAGAGATTTTGTAGCACATGTCTGATACTTGTAACTTTGGTAATAAAGATTCGTTTCTTACATAAAATATTACTTTCTTAATACATAGCAAAATCCACAAATACCTCCAATGCATCATCATATTCCAGATAATTCTGACCTTTCGGATTTTGATTTGCGATCTACAAACATTCACAATTTTCAAATAATTTGAAATGAATTTTTTTCCATTGTTCAGTTAAATTCTTAAGTTGTTTAATTTGTTATTTTTAAATATTCTTTATCATTTTTGTTGTCATATTTTTGCATTGTTTCAGTATCTACTAAATATTTAATAAAGTTCTGAATTAATTTGTTATTATTTATGTATTATCTTTAGATTTAAAATTATCAAATTGAGAAATTTTGGAATAATCCATACATTTGCAGTACTAACTTTAAATTAAGTGTTCCTTCAAATGATGCATTTTAGCGACATGCAACAAGTATACATTTTTTAAAGAAAATTGAACGCCTTTTCAAAATAATAAATTATTTTTCATAAATGCCCATTTTTAAAAAATCTACTAGTTTGGCACACCAGTTTAAAACGCCCTGTACATGTAATACAAAAAAAAGCTGGTATTCGTTTGTATTACCCAAAAAAACTTACTTTGACAAAATTTGGGTATATTTACTCAAAAAATATTTGAATTATCGTAAAATTATTAAATAATATATATATTTTCTCCACCCTGTAATTTCTTAAGCAAGCAAAATTCTACTAAAGTAAATTGGCTTAAATGAACTTATTTTTATCTGAAGTTTGGCCCATTCTTTAATGATAATATCAAGTGCATAAATAGTGTTTTTGTCACATATAACACTATATTTAATAGTTATGACCAAAAACAAGCAAGATAGGTTATTAACATGTTTATTTGCAGACAATAATAAAAATTAATAAAAAAAAATAAAAACTCATCAATATAATTTTTTAATAAAAATATAATTTAAAAAAAAAACGTTCTTTATCAGCAAAAAAGTAAAAACAAAACTTTGGGTATGTTGAAAAAGGGCACAAAACAATTCCTTGATTTTTTAATAAATATAATCTTGTGAGATGCAAAAAATACTGCTCTAGTGAAGAAGCAGTATTGCTCCAATATAGAAAACCCAGAGATATACCGCAACGCACCAATTAAAGGCGAATAGTCACTGAATCATACATTAGTCCCGTCTCGATTTTATTTTTAAAATTTTTTTGAGAATAATTATTATTATTTGTTACATTGAGTTTAATAAAAGCCACAGATTTCGAAAGTATTGAAAGTTGTTTAAAGAGTACCTATAAATATATAGAAAATCTGTTTATGTCTGTGTTTATTAAACTTTTTTTTAGGGTAGGTAATTATATTTTTTGAATAATTTACAAACTTCTTTTAAATAAAAGACAAAACTATTTCTATTTTTATTAACTGAACAAATAATGTTTTCAAAAAGGTAAATCAAACGAGGGTGGTCCTTAGGATCTCACAAGAGTATTTTATTACGACCGGTTTCGAGGATCAGATCCTCATCATCAGGTAAGGTCTAAAAATAGAGAGGAAAAACGAATGATCTCATAACTAATAAAGTGGGTTTAAACATTTTAATATGAAAGTTGTCAAATATCAAGAACTCACCCGTAATTACTCATCTATTTAAGACTAAGCTAAGAGAATTATCCCAGGGTCGGTGTAAAAACAAGTATGCGAGTATTTTTTAAAATACATAAAAAATATAAAAAACAATAGTTGCAACAAAAAGTTGATGTCAAAACACATAAACAAAAGTAGGTCTAAAACTATTAATTAAAATTATTAAAATATTTCACGAACGGACGAACAATTAAGACAAACAAATTTAAAAACTTTTTTAAACCCTACAAGCACTAAAATGGGTTCTTGGACAAGTGTTTATAATTCTACAGGAATTAAATTTTATTTAGATTAAATATACTGATTAACGCCCTCGATATAAATAGACGAATTAACCATTCTAATATTTAAGATAACAGTTTAGAGGTTGTCAAATTTAAACATTTTGACCATCGGCTAATAGATGGCGTTGGCGAAAAAAATAAATGTTTCTTAATAATAATATAGGTTTATAAAATGAATTGTTTGAATTTGTACGTAATAAACAAAATGAAATAAATAAATTATTATTGTTAAAAGTAGAGTCTAGCATTAGCGTTGGAAAATAATTTTAGATGTACTAATATTCAAATTAAGAAGTTGGTAACAATCAACGGAAAAGGAAATGGTGTTAAAATGAAAAGAGAGAAAAAACTATTGATTTGGTTAATTATTTTTTGAAGTAATGTGCTGAAAAATGAAAATGGAAAAGGAGACAGAATAAAAATAAGGAATAAAATAAGTATAACTAATAGAATTTCATAGGGAAATTTTAAAGTAAAAGGGGGGGGGGGGTAATTTAAGGGAAACGTAGATTTTTAAAAAAGAACTGAGAACGTGGGTGTGGATTCGGAAAAAACTTGTGAGTTTAGTGATAATGCATTGTTACTTTTTCTTAATCTAAATATTTCTAGGTTCTCCAAATTATTCAATATCAACTTGTTGTGGCAAATGTGGAGTAACCTAAAGCCATCCCCTGAGTCAAAATCGTGATTGGACTCTACTAGATGGGTGGCAAAATGTGAGAAGCCGGTTGTGGCAGTATTCAAACAACTTAAATGTTCTTTAAGTCTAGTCCTAAGACTTACAACTGAGTTCATATATGCCTGGTTGATCCATGATGTCCACTTTATCTTTATTCTTGATGAAAAAGTTACTAATTGAGTTGGAGGATTTAAAAGAAATTTTGAAGTGATTTTTGAGGATATTGGAGACTTTATAAGAAATATTTCCAATATAGGTAAGTGACATATACTTACTAATGCTAGCCTCTACAGGTATAGGGTTAGTTATAAATGTTGTATTTTGAATAATTCTATTTTGTTTTTTACTCAACATTTTATCGATTAAACTGTGGTCATAATTGTGTATATGAGCTATGTTTTCTATTGTATTAAGTTCTCTATTGTAGTTTTCAATGGATAAAGCTACTCGTAATAGACGTTCTAAATAACAATTAAAGGAAGCTAATTTATGCGAGATGGGGTGATTAGACAAATTATCTATTACTACTCCTGTATGAGTGGGTTTTCTATAGATATCAAAACTTATTTTAGTCATTGTTATGGGATATTTTTAAATCTAAAAAGTTTATAGATTTATCTACTTCGGTTTCTAAAGTAAACTTAATGTTGGTATGTAGAGAGTTAACATGAGACAAGAAATCATTCAATGAGTCTTTGCTACCAGTCCATTGTATTAGAATATCATCCACAAATCTAATACTATGGACTGGTAGCAAAGACTCATTGAATGATTTCTTGTCTCATGTTAACTCTCTACATACCAACATTAAGTTTACTTTAGAAACCGAAGTAGATAAATCTATAAACTTTTTAGATTTAAAAATATCCCATAACAATGGGAATAGAATATCATCCACAAATCTAATACTATGGACTGGTAGCAAAGACTCATTGAATGATTTCTTGTCTCATGTTAACTCTCTACATACCAACATTAAGTTTACTTTAGAAACCGAAGTAGATAAATCTATAAACTTTTTAGATTTAAAAATATCCCATAACAATGACTCTAAATTAAGTTTTGATATCTATAGAAAACCCACTCATACAGGAGTAGTAATAGATAATTTGTCTAATCACCCCATCTCGCATAAATTAGCTTCCTTTAATTGTTATTTAGAACGTCTATTACGAGTACCTTTATCCATTGAAAACTACAATAGAGAACTTAATACAATAAAAAACATAGCTCATCTACAC